TTGCTGCAGGGACACAAAGCTTTAATAGGTCTGCCACCAGCCTCGCCAAAAGCTGACTCCAAGAACTCATCCGTTTTGCACATCCATTCTTTGGTGAAATCAACCTTGCTTCTGTGGCCCGTGTACATCCACTCACGGTCATCCATCCTCTAACATATGTATCAACGAGTAATATAAGCATCAATTGCATCTACACGGTGTTCCTACCATCTAATAGGTGAGGATAGGTCCTAATCCCACCCGCGGATGCGTAGATGAGATTAGTTTTCATGATCTACTCCTATCTAAGAATGAATTTCGGCAGCACCTACCCGTTGTTCTCCAAATACATGTCCTGACAAGGAGAGTGTATCCGGAGAACAACAGGGAGGTGATACCGAAACTCTATCTCGGATAGGAGCAGACCATGAAAACTAATCCATCTACGCAGCCACGGGCTGTCCAAAAAAACGTGGACAATTCGAAACACATACGGCTATCGATATGCAAAGATTTACATACCTCCAACCGTATGTATTTCGAAAGGGAGACGCCTAACTGGGCTTCGCCACCTACAACCATGATACGGAAAGAGGGGTTATACCTAAGGTGGCGGTGGAGTCAGGCTAGCGGGGCCGTGGAGGGTCGGTGCAGTGGCGAGGCAACGCGGTGCAGGCAAACCGACACCGGTGAGGAAGACGATCGGGGTCGCCTCTGCTCCTTTCTCACCTTCTTTTTCCTGCAAATAAAAACAAAACGAATTAAGATGTCTAAAAATTTTGGCAGCACCTCCCTTGTACGGTGAGATTCTCAAAACCTGCAATGAACCAACGCCACGATGGCCGCTAAACACATATATATCAAGGGAAGCAATTACATCTACTAACACAACAACAACTAGTACTAACACAATCACGGCCAACATCATCATTTATCCATCCTATGCATATTTGTACCACTACTTGTCGTACACCATGTATCGAATACAAAAGTGGTCGACGAACCTCGTGCGTGCTAGTCGTCGATCAAAGAGACGGCGTAGTGTCGGACGGGGCTGCAGGCCGGCAGGAGGCACACTGGAACAAGGCGCTGGCTTATGGGGCGGGGCACCAGAGCAAGACGTCGGTGGACGGAATGTCAAGCAGGGCACCGGCGGACGGGAGCAGATCGATGGGGCTTCCTCTTCTCTCCACCTTCCTCCTCTCTCTCTGTTCCCTCCTCCTCCCTCTCTACTGCTGCTCACCTTCTCCCTGGGGCCAGCCACGGGGCGGCATAGGACCAGCCAGGGGACGGCGCTGGGGGCCGGCCAGGGGCCGCCCGGCGGCCGTGCCTTTCCTTGGCGAGCGGGGCCGGGCTGGGGGCCGCGGCACCTTACTGCCGGACCGGCTGCGTGGGGGGGCCCGGGACGGCGCAGGGGCCTTGCGCAGGGGCCTGGCCACGGGCCGCCCGGCGGCCAAAGCCTTCCCGCCGAGCAGGCCGGGCTAGGGGCGTCGGTGGCCGCGCGACAGCGCCCTGGCGGACCGGCCGGGCGAGGCCCCCCACGCGCAGCGGACAGCAATGGAGGGCGGGCGCGGCGGCCGGAATGGAGGGCGGGCAGGGCGCCCCAGCTGCCGGGTAGGCGGCGGGCGAACGCTGGCGGCGGGCGGGCGGCTTCGGGCGGCGCGGGCGGGCGGGCAGGCAAAATTTTTTTCGCTGAAAGAGCTCGCGCGCTCTGGGCCTGGGGTTCGGGTTCGGGTGAAAGGATAAGTTAAGTGTTGAATATCCTGCTTTGCCTAGTGTCCAGGATCTAACACTAGGCAAAAAAAAATTTATTTGTAAAAATAGAGTAAATACCTGGCACACCTCACTGCTGGGTTTCTTCGAAGTGTCTCCGGTAGTACCGGTTGTAAGTACCGGTACTTCCGGTCTTCACAAAACAGTGGAAAAATGACCTAGCGGTACTACCGCTGTTTGACCGGTAGTACCGGTATGACCGGTAGTACCGGCTGACATCCGGTAGTTCGTACCCAGTGTTTTTGCTCAAAACTGACCTACCGGTAGTACCGGTCGTCTACCGGTAGTACCGGCTGTACATCGGTACTACAGGTCTTCACAACTGAGCCAGTTTTTGACTTACCGGTAGTACCGGTACTCTACCGATAGTACCGGCCTGAACGGTAGTACCAGAAGTTCATCGGTACTACAGGTCTTCATAGTTGTGCTGGTTTTTGGCCTAGCGGTAGTACCGGTCTTCTACCGGTAGTACCGACCAGGTCAAGTAGTATCGGTCTTCTACTGATTTGCCTAATGTCCTAGATCTGACACTAAGCAAATATGAATGTTTTTGAACCATGATTTTTTTTGAAAATAAAAAACACTCAAACAATATAAACTGAAAATTAACTTTGCCGAGTGTCGATAACCCAACACTAGGCAAACACTATAAAAAATAAGTTTGCCTAGTGTCTTCCATGAGACACTAGGCAAAGAGGCCAGTTTGCCTAGTGTCTAGCTGGCACACTAGGCAAACTTATTTATTTATTTTCAATTTTGGTCTTCAAACTTTTTATCGAGCCTCCCTACATAAAATGAGACTACATGTTGAAAGTTGGCACAATTTTATGAAATTTTGCTATATTTCTTTAGTTTATTTAATTTCTTTGAATTTTTTCGACAAATGCAAATTTGAACTGCAAGTGTGTCGAATAATGGCAATTCATGAATGCAAAAATGATATTCATGTTAGTAAGTGTTAGTTGAGGCCGTATCCAGAAACAGACCAAAAATTCCACACATCTTCACGTCGAGACATGTGGAGATGTTAGGGTTTCTAAGCATCATACGTGACGATGTGCTCGAAATCTTAATAAATTTTTATCATGGCACCCGCATGCGATATCTTGACTTGTCGACAAGTTTCATGAATTTCAGACTCTTTTGCTCGCAAGTTCGTGGTCATGTCTCGACGTGAAGATGTGTGAAATTTTTGGTCTGTTTCTGGATACGGCCTCAACTAACACTTACTAACATGAATATCATTTTTGCATTCATGAATTGCCATTATTCGACACACTTGCAGTTCAAATTTGCATTTGTCGAAAAAATTCAAAGAAATTAAATAAACTAAAGAAATATAGCAAAATTTCATAAAATTGTGCCAACTTTCAACATGTTGGTCAAGGTATAGTAGGAAAGCTACAAAAAAAAATTGGAAGCTAAAATCAAAAAAAGAAAAAATATTTTGCCTAGTGTCTCTGTAAGACACTAGGCAAACTGGCCAGTTTGCCTAGTGTCGTCCGGAGACACTAGGCAAAGTTCTAATTTTGCCGAGTGTTAACGGAAGACACTCGGCAAAATGGTAACGGCGGTTGCCCTCCGGCAGCCTTTGCCGAGTGTGATGGTATGCCTAGTATTGACACTAGGCAAAATGGTCATTTACCGAGTGAATTTCTTTGCCTAGTGTCGACACTCGGCAAATAGTTATTTTGCCTAGTGCCTTTATTTTGCCGAGTGCTCCGGGGTCTAACACTTGGCAAACAAGCTCTTTGCCTAGTGTCCGACGATTGGCACTAGGCAAACCAGTAAACACTAGGCAAATCTCGGTTTTCCAGTAGTGGTACTGTGTTCTTCGAATGATTCATTACTTTCTCTAGTTTAAATTAGTTTTTGCATGCCTATGGTCACTGCTGGTTTACAAATAGGACCGGTAAAATATAGACATTCTTGATATAAACTTGGATGTAACACAATATAGACATTATGAATTAGAATCATAGGCAAAATTTGTAACAAAACATTTAGAGACTATCCCAATTAGCACTAAGCAAACTAGAACTAGAATACACTTCAATGGAACATGAATTTCTACTCCAATTCCAACTAAAGAAACGAATTCTTGACGAGTTCTTCATCCATGGGCTTCTTCTAATTCACCTCTCCATGCAAAGGTGCACTGTCAACCTCCTGATCACCCAAAGTTTTTACCATCTAAACATATTCATGCTCTCAGTACCAGCATGAGCATCCACTACCACCACACTAAAAGAACACCAAAACATGAACTTGAATCAAAATCATCTCAAAGAAATGGCCATAAATCATAGAAAACGAGGCCAACAAGACCTAACCATTTGATCTGCACACTGTAGAAGATGCATCCACAGTTGGGATCTTCCTTCTTCACCCTAAACTGCAACACACTGTGTTGCTTACATCTGCACGTAATGAGAGGGAGCTCCAATCTGAGTCATAAACTCCATGTGCGACTGAGGGCCTGGACGGGTGTGCCATCTATACGACAAGGGTTGGCTTTGAATTGGTTGCAACAATGGCGACAAGGACAGGAGATTGGTGATGAATGGGTCAAGAAAACCAAGTACACATCCAGCAAAATAAAGGATTGGACCGGATATCACTACCGGTTCAAAACATCACCGGATAGTGATCCTAGAGCACCACTGCCGGTTGAATCATTGACCAACAGTGATACTAGAACATCACTAACAGGTGAGGTTTTAAACTAGCAGTAATAGTGGAGCATCACTGCCGGGTGAAGCTTTGACCGGGCAATGAAAGACATTTATCGAATTGTCTTTTCAATCAAAGAAACATTGCATCACAATTACACGGTTTGGGAAAATGACTATAGCTACAATTACATACAGACAAAATAGAATGTCTCTAGATGACTAAAATAGTGTATGTACACAAAGGAAGCTAACGTAGGAGTCTTCCAGTGCCACCTCCTGGGATCGAAACCTGATCACAGGCTTGAGGGGTGGCTTATGTTGTAGTAGATTCTCCATATGTATATGCTTCTTTGTAATACTTAACTTGTCACATTATATTGTATTACTACCAGACAGGAGTACTATTTATCACATCTTTATAGTATATTGATACAAAACGGGCACTACTTATTACAGCTTTGATAACATATAGTTTTGTGTTTCTATGAAATTTCTTAGTAACACATTGATGAATGTTGAATGTGCTGCACGTGTGTGTTGTAATATGTATGTTTTGTTGTAATACTGGGTGGATCAGTGCTCGGTTGGTGGTCGGATGGCCATGAGAGCCTGCATGACTGTGGACAACGCAACCATGGCAGAAATGATGAGTAGAAGTATTTTGACTGGTCTGTTGATGTAATTCTTCACCTCTGCCAAATCACGGTACACATGCAACACTCTACATTTCCTCAGATCTTCCAGCACACCGTCAATGGGAGTCTTTCCGCTTCGCCGGTTCCACACACACAAGTTCTTGAAGTAATTGATGACCTGCCATGACCATATAGAAGAGTAAAATTCAGTCACCTAACACTTCTTATATATTTATCCAAAGTTTAAGTACCTCCTGCAATCCTGCTTCGTCCAAAAGTGCACTTTTTCTGAAATATGGAGTATTCAAAATTTGACCCATAGTAGATAATACTAAATATGCTCCCGATGGAGTTTCATTGCATTGCATTATAGATGAGCGAGGAAAACAGTGAAATGAAATTGCAGTCTGACCTTTTTATCGCTTCCAAAGTTGTTGTGCAGTATGCGGAGATTCTGCAGTAGGGTGATGTCCTCCCTCGTGCTGACCAGGTTGTACATGAGGAAGGCGTACGTGGTGCAGTAGTCGCCGCCGTCGTCGGCGCCCACCTGCTGCTCGAAAGCGATGAGGTTCTGCAGCAGCGGCGCCGTCGTCTTCTCCACGTACAGCGGCGGGATCTCGAGCCTCACGCGTTCCTCCATGAAGCGCACGTCGAGCAGCGCCCTGCCGTGGCGAGGCCCAGCAGGCCCCATCGTCGTCGTCGTCGCCCTCTTGATCCAGATGCCCATGGCCGTCAGCTCCGCGGCCGACGGCACGTTCTCCTTGCTGTCACCGTCGCGATCCAGATGCCCATGGCCAGACTCACAGTCGCACATGCACATGCACCGCAGCAGCTTCATCAGCCGGATTGGCAGAGCGGAGATGAAACCCCGCAGGTCTCTCTCCGGGGATCGTCGTCGGTGCCCGAGAGCGGCGTCGAGCTGGGCACAGTGTGCCACATGGAGCAGGTGCAGCAGGTGGTCGACTGGCACCTCGGGGTCCACGCCCAGCTCGTCCGTGGGCCTCTTGTCCTGGGGCAAGGAGTAGGACCCTCTGAACATGTACCAGAGAGCCATGTCCAGCAGCCTGCGCCTCTTCTTCTTGTCAGCGCTGCGCGGTAGGTCCCGTGGCGCCAGGTGCTTGAACAGCTCCAGCAGCACGGCAAAGGGGATCTGGTTCTCGAGCAAAGTGAGGTCGCTGCGCAGCTGCACCGGTGCCCACCTCGACTGGTGCAGCTCCTCTTCGTTGATGCCCTTCCCATAGTTGTACAGGTGCTTGAGGATGAAGCACCCATCCAGGAACATCATCTTCACCCACGCTTCCGTCGTCATTTCTACGGAACCAAGATCGGCATAGAACCTAAACAAGGATATTATGCGCACACATTGATTAATACCGTAATAACACGTACGGTGGTAAAATCTCAAATATTTGGTGTGGTGCTATTGGATTTGTATCGTGAAAACAAAGTTAATTCTCAAGAGCACGTAATAAAACTAGAGATTGCTCCGATGGTCCTCTTTTCTAAAAGTTACACGTAATAAAACTAGAGAATTCCAAGACAGAAAACTCCACTGCAGGTGTACTACCTCATGACGATTCCGCTCCTGGACAGCAGAGGCAAATGCTGCAATTTCCAACTATAACTAGTAGCGTGCCAACCAATTAACTGCTTCTGTTTGCAAAAAAAATCATGATCCAATGCGACACCAGTTGAAGGACTGCACAACATCCTATACGAAAACGTTATGAAGACAAACACGTCGGTGTCCATGACACAGCCATCGCGGTAGCCGTCCTTGTGGACGGTGGACCGCCAACATAGGCAGCGGACGTCCATCAAGAAGAGGCGGATCTCCTCATGCTAAATGGAACAGCACCGAACCGAAGGATTCAGAGGTGGATGCAGGTGTCGCTGTGGATGAGCCGACGAGCCATCGACGAGGTGATCGAGGTCTGCTCCTTGCCGCCGCGTGGGATCGGCAATGAGGATGACTGGATGAGTTTGGCTTGGGTTTGGGTTGGGCATAGGCTAGGCTTGGGAGGGCCGGGTCCATGTGGATCGATAATTAAAAAAATTAATTAATTGGATTGGGTGCATTGAGATACGTGCAATTTTTAAAAAGAGGACTACTGGAGCAGTTCTCAAAAACTATTGTTTGGGAATGAAACTACTCTTAAGGGCACGTTTGACTCTTTTCATTTTAGAGGAATTGAAATTAACTTTATGGACTATGCTATTTGGTTTGGAAATTGACATTCCAACAACTTTCCAAAGTTTAGTTATAAGCTTGTGTCTTACATTCATGGAGTGAGAGATATAAAATGGACCCCTATCCTTAATGGACGACACGTTGCATACTAAAATACCCGTGCGATCAACAAATTTATCAATTTCATGTATGGATAAGGCCCTACAAACCATTGTCTTATCTAGATCAGTAGATCAGCCGTGTGATTAATTTTGGATACATGTGTCAGTGTCGTCCATCAAAGGGTAGGGTCCATGTGAGAGAATTAGACCCTGGTCCATACAAATTTAATTCCTTATTATTTACTAGTTTCTACGCATGTTGGAGGAAGCATCGAAATTGTTTCTGGTATGAGAAACGATTTCCTCATCTTTTCTTGTGTCTCCTTAATTCATGTGCCACATCATATTATTACCTATGTGGCAAGTCATTTAATGCTATGGAAACCATCTCTAGTTTTAGACTGCCCTTTCATCATTCGGAGAGCAATTCAGTTTGAAAGCAGGTTTACATTTCTGTATGTAATAATCATGAGAATTTATTCAATGTGTTTGAGGGGTGCTCCCATATGCTAGTAGTTACTTAACAATGTGTTTATTCCAACAACTATAATTTATTCAATGTGTTTGAGGGGTGCTCCCCATATGCTAGTAGTAAAAATTAGGTGGAGCGTATCCAAACACTTAACAATATATGTAGGTAAGTCTTAATGAACAATTAACCCATTAGCTTCTCAAACCTAGCTAAGAGCAATTAATAGTTGGTTAGCCAGCTGCAGCACACATCTCACCAAAGTATTAGCACATTAACCGCGTCCAAAACATCCTCTAGCGAAGTCTTAGCTAATAAAGCTAAAATTATAGCACAAAACAAGCCTAATTAGTACAGCTACGTATATATACTCCCTCTATCTTCTAGTCAGAAATCCTGGCAGAGAGTAGAAAATAGATGGTACACGTAGATGGACAAACTGGCACGTTACTTACTCGCGAATGTCACTGCTCATTTCTCTGAGCCTGTGCTCGCAGGTTCGCCGGAGCTGGTCGCGCCTGGCCTCGACGACATCAGGCTCGGCGTCCTGCTGCAAAGGCTCGGCGTCTTGCAGGAGTTGAGCGGCGTACCGCTCCTTGAGCTCCTCGTGGCGGAGGCCGCCATGGTTGTTGTAGTAGTGGTACGGCCCGAAGCACATGAACTTGGGCGCGTACGCGTCCTCGTTAGTGTCGCGCACCCATTGGGGAACTCGCCGGAGCCGGTAGGGGCCCTTCCGCGGCGGGTCGCCGGGTCCGGGCTCCGTCACGGTGATGGCCCGCCGCCTATGTGCACCCTCACCTCATGGCTATCGCCGGCGCTCGTGGCCACTACCGGTGGCGGCTGCTCCTCCTCCGCTATGGCTGCTGCTTCCATTGTTCGATGAGGATGCGTGCATGCATGGCGCGGACCATCTCGTCATGGAGCCGACCGACTCAATTTATAGGCACGCCGATCGAGCTGAGTGGCTTCCGTGGATGGATCTGGTGTACTGGTGTGGATCGCCGTCGTCTACCTCAAGGAACAGAACAGGAGGGAGTTTCGGCCGAGCATAGCGTGTTGCCGGCGGCGATCAGTACGTCGAGAACGAATAAAGCGCGGGGCATTTCTGCTTGGCGTGATGCTGGTGCGATTATACAGGATAAACAAACAAGAGACAGCTTTAGTTTGTTTTCCTCTTCAATCTTCATCATCATCGATCAATCTGAATGCCTTTCTATTTTTGTTTTCTGCTGCTCTGCCGGACGGCCCAAGTAAAGGCCAGATTCTTAGCTTGTTAGAACTAAACCCCTTAGCTAGGATCCTTTAGCCTGACAACATGAATGAATATCTTGACTATTCTACCTTAACAAAATGACTTATGAACCATAGCCTTTAAAGCGTGCCTGGATCGAGAAGTCAGCACGATGGCACGACACGACAAGGAACGGATTAAGACATAGTACCTAATAGTACCAGTGTTGTGCTAGTGCCGTGCCACCGTTTGGCCATCTATGGTCCCTTGAGCAATGCCATATATAGAATATATAGTGGTGTCTGTAAACTCACGAGATGGTAGGCTACTTGGCATCGATCTACCATGTTGCCGATCTGTGGGACATCCATTCTTTATCGAGAGAATTTCTTATTTAACACCGGAAAAATGAGTCGTTCCTTTCTTGGCCCTGAAATTTTCTTCGTTCCCTATTTGACACTCACTTTTAACTTTCATCTCTAATTTGACACTACCGTCAAATCCGTTAGCTAACGGTGTTAACTGGCTGTTAAAAAGACGTTTTTGCCCCTAGAAAAAAAGCGGCGAAGCAAATTTGAGAGGAAAAAAAAACTTGCGCCCGCCTCTGATGCTTGCGCCCAGCTGCAAAAAAAGGCGCAGTTTTTTTTCCCTCAAATTTGCTTCGCCGCTTTTTTTCTAGGGGCAAAAACGTCTTTTTAACAGCCGGTTAACACCGTTAGCTAACGGATTTGACGGTAGTGTCAAATTAGGGATGAAAGTTGAAGTGAGTGTCAAATAGGGAACGAAGAAAATTTCAGGGCCAAGAAAGGAACGACTCATTTTTCCAGTGTCAAATAAGGAATTCTCTCTCCTTTATCAGTGACAAGCGGGTCCCAGAGGATCCATTGGACCCATGTAAAAGTTACACCTATCGAACATGAGACATTTTTACGTGAAAGAAAAAAACCCTTCAGGAGAAAACCACAAACGCCAACCGGTGACATTCACTATCTCTACCTAATAATAAAGAGGCAAAATTTTCTCCTCTTTTTTTGGTACCATTATTTTGGTCCGCCTAGGTACCTCTAACTACCGTATAATGGAGAGTTTCTTCTGTCCGGACTTATATATATAATCCGTGTGCATACAAGTTAGAATAACTCATGTTTAGCACAATACAAAGTCCGATTCTAAAACATATTAGGTCGTGTAAGTGATCCGGACTCGTGATCCAAATCCAAATAGATTTCTACAGTTCTATTCTAAGTAACATGAATAGAATAGAATCATGTTCCTAATCTAAATAAAAAAAAGTAAAAGTAGCCTATAATAGTAGTAAACTACAAAGGTGATTTGTAGTCCGGACATGCAGATTTGTGAAAGGCATAGCGTACGTGTTCCGTTAGGATTGTTAACCGAGCCGGATCGGAAGTACGATCGACTATTCTGGCCCTTGTATTGGAAATACTAGCCGTCCTATACCTGCGCATTGGACGGAACTGCATGGAATTCTCCGTGCAAAAGTTTAACCTCCCTATCCTTTCTGATTTTTCTTTCTGTTTTTTTACCCTTTTTTATGATTTGCCTTTCCCATGCTCTTGCTTCTCTGACTCTTTTTCTATTTTATTTTATCTTTAGCTTTTTCTTATATATGAACACAAATCTATACTTCCGTACTTATCCTTTTTCTCTAAATTGATCAATCGAACTAGACACCAATTCATTCATAGCACTGTGTATCCGTGTTGGACTCAAATTCAAGTACGTAGGCAACTCCTTATTCTTGATTGGATCCGTTTAAATATGCATGACGTTGCCTCCTCCGTCATCTCACATGTTGCATGCACCTTCTCTATTTGTTTCATAATAACACCAAAAGGCAGCACCGATCACGTACAAGTATTATAAAATGCATCAACTTCTGCTTATTCTCTTTTTGAGATGTACACTTGCATGCAGCAATCCGAGTCCGGGCAATATATATCAACGGCGGCAATTCAAGCTACCGGAAGGCCCGGATATGTCTGGGCTATCGCCCATAAATTAGCTCATATATGTCTAGGGTCAACGAAAAATTTTGCTAGCTTGTCGTCTCTCTGTGTACTACATACAAGCTCATCCTTCCCTTCCTTTCACAAACAAGTTGGCAACATTATTGGCTCTGAAACTGAAGTTTGTAGACCATTGCCTTCATGCATCTCTGTACTCAGGCTGAGCCAAATTTGAGTGTAAATAGATACCTTCCTCATCTTTAGAAGAAAATGTTATTTATGCTTTTTGAGCCTTCCTGATATAGATGGCCAAACGGCCCACCGGACTAGCATGGCACGGGCTCGATAAAGGCAAGGACTGATGAGGACAGGCCGAGCATGGCATACCGGGCCGTTGGGTTGTGCCGAAGAGGGCTTCGTGCCTAGCTATCGACGCGCCATGGCACGGCACGCCGGGCCGATTTCTGGGTCGTGCTGACCCAATAAGCCAAACACACCCACATATGAACATTTATGAAGTAACAATAATTGGCTACAAATAGAATATTACAAATATCACACTAAAAATGATTTTTTTTGCTATGATACAACATATCTGCGCCTGTTTCCATTTTCATCAATACCCAATACATTTTTTCTCCCGTTGCAACGCACGGGCACGTTTGCTAATATATATAATGGGAGTTTACAAAACACAGGAAAGCAGAGGGTGGAAGCGGAGGATGGGAGGGTAGGAGGCAGGGGCAGGCGAGAACCTACGCCAGCCGTGGTAGGTGGCGACGGCAGCTGGCGCACTCGCCCCCAAATCCGGCTACAGGAGGCGGAAGTGGCGGGTGGTGGGACAGAGCGTGGAAGAGGTTGAGGATGCCGCGCTCGAGGATGCTGTGCTCGAGATCGGCGCGGTGGAGGCGTGGAGGAGGCCGTGCGGTAGCGTGGAGGAGTCCGGGCGTGCTCGTCTACCAGTGGAGGTGGCCAGGTGATGAGGAGTGAGGCGGTGGCCGCCGGTGGTGCTGGCCTGCTAGGGCATGGAGGAGCTAAGAGGGAGGACTCCTGAGTGTGGCGCGGGGTGGGGATTTGAGAAATGTGTTGAGAGTTAGGCCACTCTGGTGTGGTTGGCTCTTAGCAGGCCATGGTGGCCACTAGGCTACCACCGGGCCTTCCTATATGTTGGGCCGGGCTATGCCATCTGTCGTGCTTGAGCCTAGGCATGGCCCTATACATCGGGTCAGGTTGGCCCGAGCCTGTGAAACACTAGCTAGATCATGTGGGGCTTGTACCGGGCCAAAATAGTGGGCTTCAGACTGGCTCAACGGGCTGCAGGCTACATGCACATCTATAGGCGTAGGTGCCTCCTACCTGCTAGACCTAGCCTGCAAAAATTTCATTGCAAGCCCATGCAGATACCTGCGCGTTCTGCCTGAGACAGGGCCTGAGAGATGGATGTGTAGTCTGCAAATACAACACCAACCCACCACCACACACACGCAACCCACCCAATCAGGGCAAGGACATGGCCATTGGGCCCGCAAGTGCTTTGGACCTCTCGTAAGTCCAACTCGTCTGGGTAAAGCTCTTTGTGGCGGTTTTTCTTTTCTTCATTTCTTATTATCAAATCATTATTTATGTTGCCTAAATAAATAACCAATATATATAATAATAAAAACAAGGAGTACCAGAGCAATTCCCAAACCAAAGAACAACTCATATCAAAACAATAATTCTTTTAACCAAGCATGTACAATTTTTTTTTGTGAAACCCATTACAAACGCAGACACTTCTATATTTGAATAGAAAACAAAAACGAAAGCGGTAAAACAGAACACGAAAACGGACACGAAAATACGAAATATCGAGAATTTTGAAAACAGACTAATTCGAGCGAAATTATTTCCATATGTTCGTGCTCGTGTTCGTTTTCATGACCGGCTTTACCACTTTCGCTTTTGTTTTTGTATTGTAGAAGTAGAAAACGGTTAAGGGGTTTTCCAACCATTTTTATCCCTATTTATACTTATTAAAACTTCAAGTCTGCCTGTTAGGCTCGAAGCCCTCCAGTACTGACCTTGTCGGGATATGTTGTTCATATATTATGTGGAGACCTTCTGTTCCCCATCGATGCACAGTAGCTGGCGCAAGAGGCTAGGGATTTATTCCTGGATGGTAATCAAAATATTTTAATTTGGGATGCACACTGTTTGCACAGGCATGGAAGATTTAAATTTCGAATGCACAGTAGCTGCTACAGTCACAGGGGCGCGAGAGGCCAGGAATTTATTCCTGAATTAGGGTAATCTTATTAGGTGGAGACCTTTTGTTCCCCATTGAACCATAAAAAAAAAGTGATGAGCTTGGATCTTATCGTGATTTTGTTGTTTCCAATTTCTACAATCCTGAAGTGATGAGCTTGAAAAGTCGTACTCCCTCCGTTCCAAAATAAGTGTCGTTCTTATTTTCCGAGAAACAACTGTCGGCAATTATATATTAAAATATATAAATATTTATGCTAAGTAATTAGTATCATCGACTCACTATGTGCTATATAGTACTAGTCAACAACAATATTTTGGCAGCCTCCCCATGATCACTTTTGTCATGTGTCACCCACTCACTAGTTTAATGACCATCACCACTCGATGATTCGTGCACTAGATAAACATAAAGGCGTGCAACCAGATATGAAATTATTGACCGTGAACATCAACCCACTCACTAATATGATTTTCTTTCTTACCTTTTTTGTATCATGAGACTGGGACTTACCTTTTTATTTCAAAGTTTTAATAAAAGTTCAGTAGGGAGCACCCCCTCCTATTTTATCGAAAAAAAACCACTCACTAATATATGCCGGCTAATCACGCCACGAACGATTACTCAGACTTTCTCGGTCGTTTCCCCACACCAAATGTAGGTATTTTTATACACGACAGTTGTGCGACACACCGAGCACGCACAACCCACACGCCCTCGTGCTCACGCCTGCACGCGTGCCCGCGCCGGAGAGGAAGAATAAGGCACCTAGGGGCTAGGGTTCCAGCGAGGAGGTCGCCAACGTCAGAGACAACGAGCATGAGCGGGTGTCCCTTGTCCAACTCTGACTCTCCTCTACTTTCCTAACTCCGGCCGGGTTAGAAGGGGGTTCGCAGGAGGGAAGGTGGCTAGGCGGTGGGGATGACGGGAGGACGGCGTAGGAGGTGACCGGGCTAGGTCGGGGTGGGGCCGCCCATGGCCATGGCTGCGGCAGGAGGGGGGAAGAAGGAGGTTACTGCGACAACGGAGCTCCCGCGAAACCCCACCGATTACCGACCGCTGGCGGCAGCGAAAGGGGTGCAGAAGGAGGTTGCCATGGAGCTCCTGCAAGACCCTACCGAGTACCGACCGCCTGCAGCGGGGCGGTGAGAAGTGGGCGAGGAGGAAGACGAACGCAGGATCTAGAGACGAACGTGCGAAGAGGAAGGTCGCACAGGGAGAAAGAGGGGTGGAGGGTTGCCGGCAGTGGAGGGCGGGGGAGGGGCGGTCACGAGGACGAAGAAGGGGTCGCGTGCACGACCGTCACGCAATAATCACGTCCATTTTTATGTGTATATGAAACAGGAGGGAAGTGAGAGCTTGATATTAAAGAAAATAATAAAGTAAACAAGGCATTACAAAGAGAAGAGAGCAAGACGACAAGAAAAATTGTACAAGTTAGTTGAAGCCATGCTTCTATTTAAAAAAAAAATAAATTATTACAACATGTAGGCATTTAATTATTTCCTTTTTTTTCCTTCACGTATATGTACGCAGGCGTTAGTTGGCAGCTTTAGTCTGGGCTGAGTCAGAACGCATTACCAGTATCAGCTTTGTTTATTTGGACTTTGATGACCAAACTCTTGAATTATTTAGCTCTCCCGCGGCACTCTAATGCATCACTGTCTACGCCTAACCCCGACCAGGCTACCAGCGTTAGCTCCGCTGTTGAGTCTGCTGTTTCTGTGTGCGCTGCCTTCTCAACTCTCACAGACTCACAGTCAATCGAGTTAATCACAGAGGAGATCACACTCCGTGCCGGGGTAATAATTTGCGCAGAGTGCTTCTCCTTCCTTGCTAATTATATATATTAATTAACGCATGCTGTTTCTGTCTCTACTCTTGCTAGCTGCATACTTACATGCATCGTCTTCTGAATTAGTTCGTTTTTATGGCCACAGATTGGCTGCCTTAGCTTAATGGAATTCGAGAGAAGCTGGAGATCCATCAGCTGAGTAATTTTAAGTCCACACTCATCTGTGAAGAGCGGGTGCGATTTTGGTCATCTGTTCGTGGATTTTGGCACTCCGGCTCAGCAGCGATTCGACGGTTTGTTGAAAATCCTTTCAGTGTGTGGGTGGTGGTGGTGGGGTGGGGGGGAGGATTTAATCCTTTCAGTATGTATATATATTATTGTTGGACTTCTTCTTAATCAGTTAGACTTTCTCCCTTTATTCCGCACGTTTCTTTTCTTCTTCTAGATCGATCCTTGCATGCTTCCTCTTCCACTAGCTACACCGATGCTTCTACCTAGTCGCATCGTTTGCCTGCTTTCACTTTGTTGCTGCTTTCTGCACAGACTTCATATACATTGGCTAGTGGTTACAACTCTCGCTCAGCTCTGATTTACTGGTTTACCATGGTCAACGTCCCATTTCCGAGCCGATCTGACCCTGCCAGACACCTCCAAAATTGACGACAAAACCGTTTGTTGGGGAAGCACCGGTGAGCACAGCTGCCCTGAATAATCACCGTACTCAGCTACGTACGATTGTCTTAACATAAGCCCAGATCCATTTCGTATGCACCAAAACCACCTTCAGTTTGCGCAGGATCAAAGGACAGAGAGTATTGGAGTGACGAATTAGGTGGAGCTTTGCTTGGCTCATCTATATATGGCGGCAGCTGCTCTGGTGAGCGTCTCCATGGGGGTGATGAAACCCGTCCTGGCAAAGCTCGCCACCCTCATGGGCGACGAGTACAAGAAGCTCAAGGCCCTAAGGAAAGAGGTGACCTTCCTCCAGCATGAGCTCAGCGACATGAATGCCCTCCTTGAGAAGATGGACAGCGTAGATGAACTCGACCCACAGGCCAAGAAATGGAGAAAAGATATAATCGAGATGTCATACAACATAGAAGACCGCATCGATGACTTCGTGCATAGTGTTGGTGAAACCGACGACAAGATGGGGATCCGTCAGAAAGCTTATTATTATGTCAAGACTTTCAAGGATCGTCGCCGACTAGCGAGTGAGTTCCAAGATATCAAGACTCACTCGTACATAACAGACCTTTTGTCTCGGCACTATTTTCGGAGTTACTCCCGGCATTTTTTGAACTCGGGAGTGAAGGAGATTTAATCCCGGCTATACCCTCGAGCCGGGAGTAAAGGTTGCTGCCCAACGCTGCTGGCTCGGCAGGCAAACCTTTAGTCCCGGTTAGAGGCTATAACCAGGACTAAAGATCGACATTTAGTCCCGGCTAGAGCCACTAACCGGGACTAAATGTTTAGTCCCGGCTGAAGGCTTTAGACGGGAATAAATATTGCTCTTTGTTCCTGATTATAACCTCTAACCGGGAATAAAGCTTCCGCCAGTAGTTATTAAAAAAACAAATAGTTTTAGTTTATTAGTTTCATTTATATTCTTTTCTTAAGTATACTTTGATTTTTAGAGTCTTTTGTTGAAAAAATAGTTTTAAATTTTAGGGGAAAATTATAATTTTCACACATAAGTTTTTAAGTTTTATTTTACCGTATTTTGATGCAAAATTCTAGTGTTTTCAATCTATAATTCACCGTATTTTGTCTCACGCGGCACAAAGAAAAATGTAATAATAAATATAATTATCAGAAAAACCTAACATCTTGTGTGGGCCCATATTTTGGGGGTAAATGATTGCCAAAAAAATTTCAAGCCATTTCGACATAGGCGGAGTCGACGTGCTTCATAGAGATATATAAAACCTTTCGTCGAACCCTATCTATACACCTAAGTTCTCTGGGATTCTGAGGTCCATGTGCTTTCTAGTGCTGGATTGGTCTCAAACTTTTTTTCAAGACTGCAAATGCCCTGTGTGAAGCCACCACCAAGTTCGAGATTTTTCTGAGCTGGTTTGGTGCTTTTTGCACTTTAATTGAATTTCCGCGCAAATTCACCGATTAATTATACGTTGAACTGAGTCCACCCCCGAAAAGATTCGGAATGGTGCCAAACTTTGCCAAATAGTCTCTTGTGCCCTAGGAGACAAATATTTGTGGAGGTTGATGCAAAATTATATTGTTTTGAATATGTAATTCGCCGTATTTCGTCTCACGCGGCACAAAGAAAAATGTAATAATAAAAATAATTATCAGAAAAATCTAAGATCTTGTGTGGGGCCATATTTTGAGTGTAAATGACTGCCAAAATTTTTTTAAGCCATTTCTACATAGGCGGAGTCGATATGCTTCACAGAGGTATATATAGAACCTTTCGTCGAACTCTATCTATACACCTAGGTTCTCTGGGATTTTGAGGTCCATGTGCTTTCTAGTGCCGGATTGGGCTAAAACTTTTTCTCAAGACTTCAAATGCCTTATGTATAGCCACCACCAAGTTTGAGATTTTTCTGAGATAGTTTGATACTTTTTTTCACTTTAATTGAATTTCCGCCTGAACTCACCGATTAATTATATATTAAACTGGGTCCACCCCTAAATGATCCGGAATGGTGCCAAACTTTGCCAAATGGTCTATTGTGCCCTAGGAGACAAATATTTGTGGAGGTTGATGCAAAATTATATTGTTTTCAATATGTAATTCACCGTATTTCGTCTCACGCGGCACAAAGAAAAATATAATAATAAAAATAATTATCAGAAAAATCTAAGATCTTGTGTGGGGCCATATTTTGGGTGTAAATGACTGCCAAAAAAATTTCAAGCCATTTGGACATAGGCAGAGTCGACGTGCTTCACAGAGGTATATAGAACCTTTCGTCGAACCCTATCTATACACCTAGGTTCTCTGGGACTCTGAAGTCCATTTGCTTTCCAGTGCCGGATTGGTCTCAAACTTTATTTGAAGACTACAAATGCCCTGTGTGTAGCCACCACCAAGTTTGAGATTTTTCTGAGGTGGTTTGTTACTTTTTTAACTTTAATTGAATTTACACCCGAACTCACCGACTAATTATACAATGATTAATGAAGAACCTAAAGATTTACGTTACAATTATGTAAAAACTAATTTTCTATCGAAAACCAATAAATTTAATAATTTCAATTAAAGTCTACATTTTTGCATTAACGAAAATAGTGAGTATTAGTTGCATTATGTTCAACATTTATAATAAAAAACACAATAGTTTAGATCACATATTTTTTTGTGTAGTAAATGAAAATAAAGTTTATTACTTTTTCTAAAAAAAATTATGCCTAGTTTTGAATTTACTGCACAAATAATAAGACTTAAACATTTAAATACAAAACATATATAAAATAAACTAATCTGCTTAAAAGTTGACGGAAAATAAAAATATAGCCCACCTTTAGTCCCGACTCCTGCCACCAGGTGGGACTAAAGGTGGGCTGCATTTGGCGGTCCGCCAAAAAATCCTTTAGTCCCGGCTCGTTCCAACAGCCGAGACTAAATGTCCCCCTTTAGTCCCGGCTGGTGGCAGGAGCCGGGACTAAAGGTGCTTTAGTCCCGGGCGGTGGATGGAGCCGGGACTAAAGGTCCCCCCTTTAGTCCCGGCTGGTGGTAGGAGCCGGAACTAAAGGTGCTTTAGTCCCGGACGGTGGATGGAGCTGGGACTAAAGGTCCCTCTCCTATAAACCGCCGCCTCCCTTCTCTCTTCGATCGTCTTCGTCTTCAGCGTGTCCCCATAGCTCCGCCGCCGCCGATTCGCCTCCCCGGCCACCCCCGACGCCGCCTTCCTCATCGGAGGGCACCCCGAGGCTCGCCCACCTCACCGGAGTAGCCCCGACGCCGCGCCCCTCACCGAGGAGCCCCCGGCCGCCCCCGACGCCGCGCCTTCTTCCTCACCGGAGGGCATCGTCCCGACGCCCCTGACGCCGCGCCTTCCCCGTGACATCCTGTTGCTCGTAAGCTCGATCGTTTTCCCAGTCGTAGCCCAGTCACGTCGGAGTGTGTCTCGCCGCCGTGCCCGCACCACCGTGGCCGCCATGGCTGACGTAGAGCTTCCTCCGGTGCGTCTGCTGCTGTTCTGGGTGTCGGGGTAAGTTCGCGGGGTGGTGTTGGTCATGCTGGTGCGGTCCGCCTCGTCGGAGCCTCGCCGCCGGTGAGTTTGGTCGGCCAGAGTTGGCAGCACCGCCGTGCGCTCTGTTTGGGTCGCTGACATGCGGGGCCGGGTCGTCAGTGAGAGAAAGGGAGAGAGAACAGGGAGATTTCCTATTTTCTGGATTTTGAATAGTGCATCAACTTTGGAAATTCATAGGAAAATAATTACAGCTCCAAAAATTCTGAAAATTTGTGTGTAGATTCTGTACATATTCTATTATGGTTTAAAAATATGAAACTTGAAATTTGAATAAATTTTTAATGTTCAAAAATTCAGTCAATTAATTGATAAATGTAATTTCCATGATTTTTGTAGGCCACTGTATAACTCCAAAAATTAGGAAATTTGTTTTGGTACACTAATTTGTCATGAGGAAGTTTACATAAAATTTTGAGGTCATTTGGAATAAGTTCGTTTTGAGCTTATTTCTAAATTAATTCAAAAATGGATAAAAGCAAACCCTAAGTGTTAGGTTTAGGGTTTGATCTTGTTTTGGTCATATTTCATGCACCATGAAAGCATCATGTTTACATTATCATTATGTTGAAGCATATGTTATTATTTCATGTAGAATCCGAGAGTGAACCAATTCTAGTTGAGCAAGTTGTGAAAGAATCCCCGGTTGTCTCGGGATTTGATAATTGTGGTAGTGATCCGGAACCCGAGATCGTCAACGAAGGCAAGCCCTGGTTTATGCATTAAACCATTACCTTGTTTACTTTAAAAAGTTTATCACCGATGTTACCTATTGCATTAAGTTGATCAATTCAAATGTTACCTACTTTATGCATTGCCTACCTTGTTAATTGTTTACCATCCTTGAAGATGATTTCATTTACAAAGACGTAGAATTGCTTAGTATGCTTTATGGTAGGCTTTCAAAGTAAAAGTTTCGATACAATCAAAGATGGCATACTGGCCAAAGAAAGAAAGAAGATAAAATCAATTGTGTTATATTCTGATACAATGTGGCCTATACCCTAAACCCTAAACCACCCTAAACCCTAAACCCTCCCCGGCCACCGACGCTAGCCGGCCGCCCCGCGCAGGCACCACCGCCCCGAAATGTGTATGAAATGTCTATGAAACCCTAATTTCATAATTATTGTATTATAATTGTTTAGGCTCTCTATGGCCGACCCGAGAGACGATGACCTAGAGGCGGAAATGATGGATATTATCAACGCCGGCACTGAACATTGTGCCGATGTTGATAATGACCAGCAGAAAGATGACGGGAGTCAATACTTGAATCTCGATCATGAAGATAATTCCGGTGAGGTATATATTTCTCAATATCTAGCTCTCATTTATTTATTATGCATACATGTAGCCCACTGGATCGACCTTTGTTTTATAATACTTTTTGTGTTTCTATGCGTACATAGCCGTCTGGATCGACGACGACGAAGGGGAACACAAAGAATGTTCGAGGGGCCAAAAAGCCGTTGGAAGGCCGCTACATCATCTCAGAATTCAACGTGGCTATAGGCGAACCACTAGGACAATATGCACAGAAATTCGTGTACCACTATGGGTACCTTGTAAGGGACAAGCTCCCGATCAATGCCCGTGAATGGAAAAAAATAACAATGCTCCTCATATTAGTTATGTCTCTGATAAGGACAAGGAGCTAATTTGGCAAGATGTTCTTGCACATTTCACGCTCCAAACAGATGATTATCATGAAGACATCACCCATGAAAGGTTGACGGAGTGAGTTAGGCACTGGATAATGAAGAAGATGGCCACCCAATTCCAATCTTGGAAGAAGCAGCTGTACAAATCATACGTCAAGAAGAACAAGACTCCAAATTGGAACGATAAGGGCCCAATCGCGAAGGCAAGGCCCTACTGGGAGGAATTTGTATAGTACAAGACATCAGAAGAGAGTGCGGAACGGGCGAGAAGGAACCAAGAGAATTCCAGACAAAAGCAATACCACCATAACATGGGATCAGGTGGCTACGCGACTTCCGTTCCCAAGTGACAAAAAATAGAAGCAGACCTTATTGCCAAGGGGGTCATACCTGAATCAGCACCATGGCCTGAACGCACAAAGCGTTGGTTTTTAGGTCATGGGGGAGGATTGGACCCAGTCACCGGGAAGCTCGTCCATGGCACAAAACTCGAAAGAGCAACAGAAAGGTTGATTCAAATTCTAAAAGCTAGATATAGTGGACTATTCCGGCCCAACAGAGAGAAAGATGAACTGACATATTTCATCAGGATCACTGAGCATTGTGGATGAACTAGAGGCAAAGGGGCCGTTCCGTGGGTGCAAGGTTTCCCTGAATGGATCGATTTGTACAGAAGCCGCCAGAGACGCAAGGATGAGGAGGCAGAGAGGATCTGCATCTTGCAGCAATATGTTATTGAGTCACGGGAAG